GGGCAGGGACCCGGGGCCGTGTCCCCAGCGGCGCCATGTGAGGGGTGCCGGGATGCCCCCCCCATGGAGCGCCGGCCATGGCTAATGGGTACCGCACACTCTCCCAGCACCTCAACGACCTCAAGAAGGAGAATTTCAGCCTCAAGTTGCGCATCTACTTTCTGGAGGAGCGCGTCCAGCAGAAGGGCGAGGGCAGCCGGGACGATGTCTACCGGCGGGTGAGCGCCCATGGGGGACGGGTGCCCCTAGGGGGTTCCTTCCCTATGCCCCCCGCCCCCTTTGCCAGGACAAGATGGGGCTTGGGGAGCGCAGCTGGTGGGGACGCCGGGGAGGGCATCGGGCATGGCACTGGGGCTGGGGGAGCTGCTGTGCGGGAGTTTGACCCTTGCTGCCTTTGACCGGAGCGGGGAGAGGGTGGGGGAGGGTGTCCCCAGGTCTGGGCAAGCGTGGGGGGCATCCTACCCACCTGGCTCCCACCCCACAGAACATTGAGCTGAAGGTGGAGGTGGAGAGCCTGAAGCGGGAGCTGCAGGAGAAGCAACAAGCCCTGGACAACACATGGTGAGTGGGGCTGGCTGAGCCCTTTGCCCCAGGGTGGACATGGCACCCTGTCTGCGTGGGGACAGTGGAGATGGGGGTTGTCTGCCTGCGCCCTGCCCGCAGTGGGCAGTGGAGGGTTTTGCAATGGGGCTGGAGGGGTTTGCAGTGGGGTTGGAGGGGTTTGCAATGGGGACAGGCACCCGCGGGGGCTCCTCTTACAGCTGCAGCACCAGCCAAAAATAAAGGGTAGCACCTGTTTGGTGGGGGAGGGCAGCACCGTGCCCGGCGTCTGTGGCGCGGGTGTCCTGCAGCGGGGCACCGCCGGGCAGGAGGCTGAGGGCACGGCAGCTGGGGAGCCCCCATTTTCGTGAGTGTGCGGGGACTGCTTTGGCTGTTCAGAGCCTGAGCATGACCTGGTGCTGCCGGAGGAGCCGTGTCCCCAGGGCAGCAGTGCTCGGAGGTTACAGTACACCTTGTCCAGGGGTCTCGCAGAAACAGCACCCATGGCATGGGGGGAGCTGGGCTGGGGCACCCGGTGTGGCACAGCTTGCCCAGCCCAGATGGTTTGGGGTGGGAGCTTTTGGAAAAGGAGGCCATGCCGTGCCATGCCGTGCCGTGCCATGCCATGCCATGCCATGCCATGCCATGCCATGCTTCACCCTGCCAAGCCATGCTATGCTGTGCCATATGCTGTGCCATACTGTGCCATGCTGTGCCATGTCATGTGCCATGCCATGCCATAGTGTGCTGTGCCACATTGTGCTATGCTGTACTGTGCTGTACCATGCCATGCCATGCCATGCCATGCTTCACCCTGCCAGGCCATGAGCCATGCCATGGCAGAGTGTGCTGTGCCACATTGTGCTATGCCGTACTGTGCTGTGCCATGCCATGCCATGCCATGCCATGCCATGCCATGCCATGCTTCACCCTGCCAGGCCATGCTATGCTGTGCCATGCTATGCCATGTCATGTGCCATGCCATGTGCCATGCCATGTCATAGTGTCCTGTGCCACACTGTGCTGTGCTGTACTGTGCTGTACCATGCCATGCCATGCCATGCCATGCTATGCCATGCCATGCTGTGCTGTACCTGGCAGGGTGGCTGCGGAGAATCAGACAACCCGCAGCCAGGCAGCGCTCCGGCAGCAGTATGAGGAGCGGCAGCGGGAGTCGGAGCACGTCTATGAGCTCCTGGAGAACAAGATCCAGCTCCTGCAGGAGGTGAGCCTGGGGGTGGTGGGGGTCACAGGGTGCTGGAGGCTGCTGCCTGAGGGCTCATCCTGCTGCTGCCCAGGAGGCCAGGCTGGCACGGAATGAGGCCGAGCAGGCCACGGCGCTGGCCAGAGCCGAGGCGGAGCGGTGCCGGGAACTGGCGGGGAAGCTAAAGGAAGCTGCAAGGACGAAGGAGGAGGACAGAAGCGATGATGGCTGCGGTGCCATGGCCCAGAGGTGGGTGCCCAGGACCTCTGTGCTGCCAGCCTGTGCCCTGCGCTGGTCCTTGGGGGCCACCAAGGGGCTGCTGCCATGCAGGGCTGGGATGCTGTGGGCATCCAGGGGGGTGGGTCACTCCCAAGAGGAGAGAGCTGGGCTGAGGGTGGGGACGACCATGCTGAACGTCCCGCACCTTCCCTCCCTCACAGGAGGATTGAAGAGCTGACCCAAGAGCTGGCTGCCAGCAAACAGCTGGTGGAGATGCTGTCAGCGGAGAAGCACAACCTGCAGCAGCGCCTGGAGGAGCCCCTGGCCGTGGGGGGACAGGTAGGTGTACAGGCGTGGGGGGACCCCAGCCCAGCACCCTGGGAGGAGCAGTTGTCATCTTTGTCCCCTTCTAGGGCTGTGGCCAGAGCTGTGCCACATCCAGCCTGGCAGAGTCAGGTGTTTGCACGTCTGTGCCGCGGTGCTGGGGGGGACAGGGGGGCCGGGAGGACCCGGTGGGAGGTGTCAGTGGAGAG